GGATTGCAGTAATGCCTATAAATTGCCTTCTCCACAATCCACATCTCGATGCTCGTCTGATTTTTTAGAATGGATTTAAGCTACAAATCATCAAATTCAGTTATTGAGCCAAGACGAAAGTATAATAATATAATATTTATTTACCTGTATGTAGAGCAACATACCCAAGGCAATGACAACACCGATCGCCAACCCGGTGGCTATAATAGTCATTATAATAGTGGCCATTGTGAATTGCACTGTGGCCAAATGCGCATAGCCGTGCGTCAGATACCAATAGCGATGTACACCGCGATAGAAGGAGAAGCCCAATATTATGGACGCTTGAAAACTGCCTAAAATGGCGAACGTGAGAAAGTATGTGAAATATGCGTGATTTGCCCAGCCCACACAGTGATTTATCCACGGGCAATGATGATCCATTTTCTTAACGCATCGATTACCTAAACATCAGTTAAATTGAAATTTTGAAATAAAATCGAATAGATTCAACCAAGGCAAATTATGAAACATTGACTTACATTTGCGACAGTGGTGTGAACGGGGCGCTTTGTAGCCTTGACAAATTTTACAGAATTGTAATTGATCGACATCATTCGGATTCTATAGAAAAATGACGTAAATAATAGTTATCAAATATCTTCGTGGTTATACATATATATTCTATATTTATTTTTAATTTGTGTGAAAAGGCAATTAATGCTGATGAGCATGTAAATTTATGGAAAAATTAGTAAATTCAATTTTCAATAATTTGTGGATTCTAATTTTTTTTCATAAAACAAAATGGCATTTATAGGAAATACGGCGTTAATACTACATTGAACAGCTCCGAAGATAACCCACTTGAACCTAACCAACCAAGCGAAGATTAAGATAACTGCTATAACAACATACCCTGAACAGGGTATACTAAGTTTGCCACGAAGTTTGTAACACCCAGAACGAAACGTCGGAGACATTTTAAAATAAAGGGTTTTCCAATAAGTGATATGATTTAAAAAAAAAACACACACACACTTATTGTTAGGGAAATTTGAATGTTTTTTATTTAATGTGAATTACAATCGATACAATTAAGTTCTGAATATAACATCATGCAAATGGCCTCCACGACTTCTTTTGCAAAAACGATTTCGATGAACCCAATTTTCGAGTACTTTTTCCACTAAATCAAGTCGTATGTCATGAATAATACGTTAAATATTGAATTCTAAAGCTTGAAGAGAGTCTGGTTTATTGCTAAAGACCAATGACTTAAAATAACCCCACAAGAAGTAGTCTAATGGTGTTAAATCACAACTTCTTGGAGGCCATTCATTGTCAAAATTTCTTGAAATTATCGAATCTCCAAACTTTATGACACATTTATGACACATTAAAAATGCCGATTTAGCCGTTTGTTCGTCTGTCTGTATATACACGAAATAGGCTCTCAGTTTTTGAGATATCGATCGGAACATTATTTACGAAACATCGGTCGCCTTCATTTAGTATAGCGCATATGAGAGAGTCATCGTATGCCCTTAATATTCTCTGAACATGATTTACATAATAAGGAGTGACTGCATTTTATTTGTAATGATCCAAAACTCCATGAAATCATGAATATTAATATATTATTTTAGAACGTGAGGGAAAGAAAAGGTATATAATATTTCAATGTCTCTAAGCATATACCTTTTGATTTTTGATTTACCGCAATGGGCGGACTTTACCGGATATTAGCAAGCGCGCCAAAAACGCCTCTGTAGTAATCCAAATATTATAGCTTAATTGGCCGTAGCGTGACAGGTGTGGACTAAAGTGCATGTGGAATGGTTTATAAATGCAACAAAGTCGTATTTTAAGTAACTATTAAGTTGGCTTAATCAACATGGTTCTTATTCCTTTTAATAATTATAATGCTACAAGGATATTAAAGTTGATAAATTGGTGGTAAAAAATGCATAGTTAACACATACATATGTGTGTATGTAAATATGTGCGTCCTTAGTATTAGTCTCGTAACAATAAATGCAGTCATTTGTTAGAAAACACGAAGTGTTAAAAACATTCACAGTCGCGTGTAAGAAACTAATAATTGCCACCAAATTGAGACGGAACTTGAAATGCGCACCATTTCGTGCAGCCGGTACGAGACCGCTCCGCTCTGCTTCGGCTTGCTTCTAGATGTTTATCGAATGTCACTTTTGGATGGGGTGTTCCGGCACTACAAAGGTAATCGTGCGGTGGCATGCTTTGTTTACGCTAAATTGCAACGTTTACTAAGTACAGGATCAAAAGTGCCAACATGAAGGATTATACACGCGAACGTACAAATGTACGAAAAATATGTCTGTACCTACATACCTGGTGCAAATTGTTATTATATACTACAAGTACATACCATATGTATATATATTACCAACTCGTGGGGTTAATTTCAATTTTAAGGCATGCTCGTAGAAATAAATTTGATATAGTAATTGTACTATAAAAAAGGAATGCCGTCTTCTAAGCAGTATTCTCCAATATATCGTAAATAAAATTCACCAGCCGTTGGGGGTAACCTAAAACTTTTGGCTGTCATTCCATCGACATGTTTTACCTAACCAGAACGAATCGGAGTAACCGAATGAAAGCGAAATTTATGTCTGCAAAATTTAGTGCTTCTATAACAGGCCAGTTAGATAATTTTGATGTCAAATAACTTTCGTCTTTCCACACAAAAAGGGTCTAGATAACCGCCACAACAACAACAAGTTACTCCTGCTGCGATTTAGTTGGCCAAAACAAATCAACCAATCTAACCACGGTGGTAAGAATTTTGTTTAACGCTTCGCAATATTTCTCAACCTCAAAAACGTTACAATTGTAGAACATTGAAAATACTAAGGTAATGGTAGGAGGTGGCATCTATAAAAATTGTTGCCTACAATTAACTGAATTGTCCTCATGGATATGAATACAAACATATGTAATTTTATAGCCGCACTTACTTTTGGTTTCCATTTTTTAGGCAGTAAACCAGGTCCTGTTAAAGTCGCCATAACATAGTTAAACGTGGCTAATGACGATAGCATCAAAAATAGTCCCTGGTTAATAAAGCCGCCCAAACTGGCATTCGGCGGCCACCACATTGAGTTCATATAAAGCGCAGTTAAAGTTATTACTTTTATAATGCCTGAAATTTGTAGAAATATTAAAAGTTAATTGTTGAATTATGTCAACGCTAATAAATAGTCCTTAGTGTACACATATATACATACATACTTAAATTTATATATGAATACATTGTGTGAGACTAACAGTACGTGTGACTACCGTCAACATAAAAAAAACAGCACGCATGGAGAATTCACGCGATACTATATATGTACATACATATATGCATGCATTCCATATACCATAAACACAAGATTAGAAATAAGGAAGTAGGACAAAACAATTTCTTTTACTGGGCACACTTTGACATAACAGCAATTCACGGCGGAAGCAAATTTTGTGGCAAATACGCAAAACCCAACTGTTTTTTATTGTAACATATAGTAGTGCGTTCATTCATTAAATAAGCGACCTTACCTCTCCCTGGAAAGCTTTACGAGTTGGTTACACTTTGAACACCACTAAAGCGCAACAAAAACAGGGATAGTCGGTAGTTAAGCAATACTACGCGCACGGAGGAGGAGATTTTGTTTTGGGCAACCCAATCTTGAGGCACTAATTAAGAGGGTAATTTGCAAGTAAACTAGTAATGAACTTATTATGAGAAAAAAAACAAAAAAAACAAATGTGTAAATATAAATATCTACACTTTCAACATCGTAAAAGAAATTAGTGACTTGAAATGAATAATTTCCGAAAACATCGATAGACACGGAAATTGAATAGTTCACACCACGGTGGTCCTTAAACTAAGTTATTTCTCATCTTAACTGCCAATTAACTTATATTTAATTAATGTCATCATTTTTCGCAATATATACATATATAATATAATATAAATTATTCTGATATCAACTCATAAAACCAGTCGTAGAATGAAGGAGATGGTATCGACTGTCTGCTTTGCAAATTTATATACAGACAAAGACTCTATTGCCAATACTTTATGCCATCTCTCTAGCCACATTGATTGACCATAGGTCATTTCTTTTACATCGTTATATCCCTTTATAGGAGTATGTAACTTAGACTAGGTACTTACTCAATGCCGTTAACGGACCCCAATGTAAAAATCTCCACATCCCTGATAAAATAGTACTCATTATTGTAAACTATTGGAAATATTTTGCAACAATTTTTTGTTTATATTTTTCGCCAATTCAAGTTAGACAACCAACTAGGATTATTTTAATTATTTTAATAAAACCAATTCACAGAAAAGCGAAAACACTACTGATGTACGAAAGGCGAAATATGTAAATCATAGAATGTCAAAAGTAGCACATACGAAAACATCTGTTTCGTCATCAAACAGGGTAACCAATATTCTACAACTCCATAAAATGTTTTACAAGGAAATAATTTAATGTATTATTTACCACATACAAAATCTTTTAAAGTTTACAAGCAATTGGTTTCAAACTTTTGTTAGGTCAATATTGTTTATCGTATTGCTGTTAAGTTGTTTACTAAATTTGTAATCAAAAACTATTGCATACTATTAGGCATAAATCCAGCGATTTTCATACATCGCTTATATTTATCGATTATGATAATAGAGAATGAAGAAAGGTCTATGTTGATGTTTATTAAAACTTTAATGTGTTGTCTTCAAATCACTTTGATTATAAGGTGAAAAATTCAGCCGCAAATAGAACATTTAAGATTTTAATATCATCTGCATTTAAAGTTACAGATTCGATTTTTGTTGCAAATTCTAAAACCAAAATATGTAATAGATTAATCATTAGCAGAGAAGTTGTGGCAGTATTGAAAATATGGCCACGCCAATAGTTTATTGCATTCAATGTGAAGTTGTGGAATTCGTTTTCAAAGCATAAAATTAGGTAAATTTCGTATTAAAACTAAAAAACACCAAGTTAATTAGATACAATATGTCAGTATAATATGTACTAAACATAATTTAAAGTGTAAAAATATATAAATAATAAGAAAAGTGTGCAAACAACATAGAAAAACTAAATATGAAAAGAACGCACTGGGGGACGCACATATGTGTGTGATGGAATTTGTCTTATCAAAACATAATTTCTTACAATAATTTTCTTTCTGAAATTAAATTATAATAAGCAACAAACACCAGAGCGCTTGAAGTACTATCGTTCATGAAAAGTATGCTATTGAAATGGACAAAAATTAGAAGTATATTAAATTTGTGATTTTGTTCGAAAGTTGCCACAATGGTGTTCACTTTCTCGCACCCTATGAATGAGAGTGTGTGTGTGTGATAGCGTAGAGACTTGTTGCATTCGTTCTGTCGCCGATGTTGAAGAAATGTGTGTGTTCGGTTCATTGAATACGCGAAGTTCAGTTATGTATGCTTGTGCGCCTCAAGATCGGTTTGTTTCTAGTATAAATTTTCAGAATGTGTGTGGTATATAGTTTACTGCTTCTAGGCGTTGCTGACGTATTCATTTTTTCGTAGTTAGCCCAATTTTTAATGTACACAGTGCCTAAAAATTGATTAAGAAATAGAACACTTATATTAAATTAAGAATGACTATTCCAATGATTTAATAAATCCGTTCCTTCAGGAAAATCATCAAAGTGTGTCGATTTGGTACGAATTTGTACTTACATAAATGTCTATGTTAATGCACTACTTATCGTTTTGAAACAAAAAAATTGTAATATACATGTATGTATATAAACCCGAATATTTAATTCTATTTGTATCTCTACTTCTTAAAATGTAAATTTTAGAGTATTTACTTATTACTTACGTTGTTATAAATATTTATATGCATTTTAATTTCAAGAAATATGGGGGATTCCAATAAAAAATCAAGCCCTAAGGTCAAAGTACCTGTGAACCAAACAAGTCCAAACAACACTGTAAAAATCTTGAATGATCGCGCCTCAAAACGTTCGAAACCAACCAGTACGGAATCTAGTCCACCGTTAAAGCATGTGAAGCTTTCTATTGGAAAAAGTAAAATTACTGTTGAAAGTAATGATGACATGGACCACTATGTATTGAAAACCATAAAAGACGAGGCCAGTTTGGAGGGTGGGGAAACAATAGCTTTTGTATTAAATGAGGAGCCAAAAGATGTTACGAGCGCTGCTGGAGAAGTAGCTGAGGAGCTCCAAATTAGCGAGGAGGAAGCCGATGATACTGATGGGAAAACTGATGTAATGGAACATGTTTGCGGCAAGTGCTACAAAACTTTTAGACGATTCAGTGTAAGTAGATGATATTACACTAATGTTTTTTGTGATAAAAGCAAACAATCTAATTTACTGACTCTTATTCTAAATTAGGGTCTCAAAAATCATATGGAATTTTGTCGTTACGATAGTGGTTATCATTTGCGCAAAAATGAAATGCTAAAAAATCTTGATAAAATCGAAAAAGATGCTATTACTATGGAGAAAAAAGATGTCTGCTTTTGTTGTGGCGAAAGTTATGACACATTCCATGTATGATTTAATAATCCCTAGTATAATATATGAAGTATATTTTCTATGTTAATTTTTATTTTATATGTTTGTCATTAGTTGGGGCACATTAATTGCCCTGATTGTCCAAAGTCCTTCAAATCGCAAATGAGCTATGAACGCCACATTTTCATTACACACTCCGAATTCGACACCTACCCATGTTCAATTTGTAATGCAAAACTGCGCAGCGATAATTTATTAAAACTCCACGAAGAGCAGCATAAAAATCGAGGAAAACCGTTTGCATGTAAAATATGTGGAAAAGACTTTACTCGCGCGTACCACCTTAAACGGCATCAGAAGTATTCATCTTGTTCAGCGACTGGAAATGACTCCATGAAGTGTAAAGTCTGCGATAAGGCTTTCTTTCGGTTGGATAATCTTCGTGCTCATCTAAGGCAGCATTTGGGTACACACGTTACCAAGAAGCCTGAATATAGATGCCCACAATGTAAAAATTGTTTTTACAGCTTATCTACTTTAAAGTAAGTGAAATTCTTCAAATACATTACAATTTAAATAGTACCAATTGTAATTTCATTTGTAGCATTCACACTCGGACGCATACTGGAGAGCGGCCTTTCGATTGCGATTTATGTGAGAAGAAATTCCCCACTTTAATTGCTCTGAAAAAACATCGCCGCTACCACACTGGTGAAAAACCTTACACATGTTCTGTGGTATGCAGAATATCTAAAACTTCAATAGAAATTAGAATCAAAACTATGTCTTTTACAGTGTAATCAATCGTTTGCTGTTAAGGAGGTGTTAAACCGGCACATGAAGCGGCACACGGGTGAAAGACCACATACCTGCCCGGATTGTAATAAAAGCTTTATTCAGGCATCACAGTTGCGAAGTCATGCACGAACGCATATTTTACCGTTCGAATGCTCAGAGTGCGATCAGAAATTCAAGACGCAAAAACAGTATGTTCGATTTTTTAAATATTTATACGAAAACTTACTATAAAACTAATATAAAAAATTTCAACAGCCTCGACAAGCACAAAAAGACTCACATCAAGAAATGTTACGAGTGCAATAATACTTTTACCGATCAGTCTCAACTGGAGGATCATATGGCAAATTTCGTGCATAAAAGTGAGTTATTTTTAAGCTTCTCTGTATCAATTGAAACTCTATATAATATTTCTTCATTAAAATCAACCAAAACAGCTAAGAAAGCAGTTACGCGTAAATCCACGAGACGCAGTCGTACTAATTGCAATGTCTGCGATCAAGACTTCAGTACCGTGAAAAATTTACAATTCCACATCCTCAAAGTGCATGAGATGGATCCCGAAGATTTCGTTAATGAAAAACCGAAAGAAAACGAAACAATTAAAACTAGTGAAAACGTTTACAAAATCGAAGGAGGAACATCAAATGAAATCCAGATCCTTAGTGAAACAGAGGGTAATGCAGCCATTATGGCCGCTGGCAGTATGAACAGCAAAGAAATTTACAACAACAACGAAGGCAGTAAAGGTGGTTTGGTTGTGAAAGAGTTCATCGTGAATGATGTACCTGCCGCTGAAGAAACAGAAATGGTCCTCCACGACGAAGCTTACACAGTTATACCACTAGACGGAGATGGTCCCATAGAAACAGTGACCGCTGTCACTATGAGTCCTATTAACATATCGGCAGAAGTTAAAAAAGAACGACGCAAATCATTAGCTGAATCACTGGCGGTGGCTATTGGTACAGACACCGTTACATTGAAAGAGCCAATACAATTGAATGAAGAAGATATGAAACTGAAGGAGAATGTCCGCAAATTACTGGATATGTTGGTCGATAACAAAACTTTAAAAAAATTCGGCTGGCCAACCAACAGCGAAGAGAATGTAAGATTCACTATAACCTTATGTTTATATAAATATTCGTAACAATGAATATAACATAGTATAATATATTACCACTTTCTAGGTTTTATGCCGTGTCATTGAAAATTGCGGATATAACTTAACAAAAGATGCAGAAACATATCGAGAATGTGATTACGCGACGAGAATGCGTGAATATGTTAAACTATTATTTACCGTAGTGATTCATAATGACTCCATAAAGGAGTTGTTAAATAATTATCCCATCGATGAGGTAGTTGAGTACGTGCTGGGTAACGATGACGACGAGGACGATGATGGTGATAACGATAAAGATGATGACAATAGTAATATGAAAAATTAGCAGAAAATTTATTGCTACAGAGATCGTTGCCTTTGTTTATATTGAACATATAGAAACAAAACTTATGATAGTGAAGTTGCCTTTTGACGTCTAACATTTTCAATATACATATATATAATGTTATGTACAAATTTAAGTACACGTATACAAACTTCTTTACTATGAATAGATTTATACCAGCATCAAATATAGTGTGTACTATGAATGAATTTTTTATCACTGATATGAAGTTTGGTTAGTTGTGGACACTCGGTTTTGCCGAAATGAATTACATTTAATTTTTGTAAAATATTTTTCCAAGCAATAAATAACAATCGAATTGAAGTTATGAAATAACAAACCTAATAATATGGAGTTTTAATGTTTTATTATCTTATTATATAAGTAAAAAAAAAAAAAAAACAGTTACCTTTTTCTCTAAATATACAATACAATATGTTATTAATATTTTATATATGTATAAAAATATTTATATAGTAATCCTTTAAAGTTTATTTTTTAATAAGCTGTTTGAAAAAAAAACTTCTCCACTTTCGAAATATTTTGTAGAAAATGTAATTGTTCTGTTCATAATGGTTTACAGCAACTATAAAATTTTCCAGAGAAATATATTGTATTCGTAGCTGGACAACTTATGCTGGCAAAAACGTTTTCACGAAGAGCGATGGTTTAACAATTATTGAAAACTGCGCTTGCATTATTAAGACTAATTAACATATTTCATAAAGTCATAAAGTCACCGAAATAATGTCATATGAAGCATTCTTATTGTTTTTAATAAAATATGGTTCGTTTTCAAATAACGCTGAAGGGTATTGGTAACAACTTGTACCTTAAACATTGTAACGACATCTATATGTGTGTATGTACATGTGCATGTTACCAAGTCAACGAAAGGTCATAACTGAAACACTCCATATGCGCATGTAGAATTCAACAAAATAACAAATGAAAATTCAGAACACACATAACTGTGAAACGCAATCCATTTCGCGGAAAATTGTATATAAATAAAAATTATAATTTAATAATAAGATATTTAAAAGCAATGGGAGAACTGGACATAGCTGTGATAAAATTGACCCAACAAACACTAGGCAAATATCTGAAGAAACCACCCTTAACGGAGAAGTTGCTAACAAAGCCACCTTTTCGCTTTCTGCACGATATCTTTAATGCTGTAAGTAGTTTGAATTCTTGAAACCACATGCATACATACATACGAGTATGTTTGTATTGCTGACCTAATTTCGTATATTTTTAGGTCATTAAAGAAACAGGTTGTTTTGAGGGTTTGTACACGGTCGAGGAGCTAAATTCTGATAACATCAAAGATCGTGACGACAAGATGAAGTTTCTGCAGAAGATGATTGATGTTATAAGTAAGTAAAAATGTTAGAGAAGCAAGTATGTTCGAGTCCAAAGAAGATAGGAATTAAAGTATAAATGTTACTAATATTTTATATAATTAAGTATAAAACGAATTTCTAATATATAAATAGCATATATAACTATAGGAATTGTTTAATTTGGTTCAATTCATTGTTCACAGAAATTACATCGAATAAACCTCTTGCTGTACGGACCTCAAAAATAGTGGCAGGTCAAGAACCGGAAAAGACCAATGAGCTACTTCAACTAATGGGTGAGGTGATAGAAAAGAAATTAGACTGGAAAAATGCTGTCGTAGAAGTTCTAAACAGCAAAGGGACAGTGAAGACAACAAATACTACAAAGTCGAACGTCAATGTTAAACCTATTGAAAAAAAGAATAAAGATAAGGTTCAAGAAAAGTCCAAAGATAAAGAAGGCAAACCAAAGGATACCAAAGCGAAGGATGTCAAAAAACTATCTAAATCAACCACGCCTTCGACCAAATCTGAAAAACCGGTTAAACGAACTCCAGAACCAACACACAGATCTACGGAAGTTCGCGAGAAAAATAAGCACGGTAAAGTGATGCTGGAAGTATCTAAAGATACAAAGAATAAGGCTGGAAAGAATGCTGAACAATCCAAGCCTCTAAAGCATAGAACTGACACTAAATCTAAAAGTCCATCGCCGATAAAAGAAAAAGAATCTACTGAAAATTTGACAAACATAGAGGCTACGATCGCCCAAAATACCGACTCCTTAGAATTTGGACCGAAAGTAATGGAGAGAGAAGTATCGTCACCTAATCAAATTAGCTCAAAAGAAAATCAGCGACGTAACAGCAAGGTTATCGGTCAAGAAGTAATGACGTCTAAAAATTTATTGGATAGTAATTCAACAATAGGTATGAGTACAAGGATAATGGACGCCTCCATCGACGTTGGAAGTAGTAATTTAACATTGAATATAAATACAGAGACTATGAATGGATCAAATGGTGTGGAAAGTCGTAAATCTTCGGCGGGACCTAAAAGAGCATCTGCAAATAGTCGAAGATCAAGCGCCAAAACAGCGTTACGTGAAGAGCTCGAAACTCAAAAACCAGAACCGAAAAACGATAAGAAGAATAATAATGAAAATATAGACGCGAATATATTAAAGAAAACACTAGATGAAACTTTGGAAGCGAATGTGCGACAAAAGCAGGAAGAAGAACCTGTACAAAGTTCGGTCACACAATCACAAACACCAAAAACGATACAAAAGAAAAGTCCCACACAAACGCCAACTGCGGTGCCAACCCCAGCGCAATCTACACCGGCCGAAGTGCGACGCGAGTCAACATTTACACGTGAAAACTCTCGCGACAGCAGCAGCATTAACACAACTAATCGGCCACGGACTTCATTGCGTCCACCGAGTGCACGACCCGCCTCAGCACGTCCCGGTGCGCCACGCAGACGCGATCGTAATGTAGAGATAGTATTGCAGCCCAACGATCAAGTGAAATTATCCGGTATCAACGTAAAATTAGAATCTTTCGGCGACTTAGATGATGACGGTGAGAATTTAGTTGTTATTGAGGATGCCAATACGGTCAATATTGCCGAATCCGCGAAAGAAATGATGAGTGTCGATGTTACCGACATGGGAAGTAAATTAGAACAACAGGGACATCTAGTACAACAGATACTCGAGACGCAAAAGGAATTTATGCAGCAACAAAATGGAAATAGTTCCGTCGAACGCAATGAGAAAGTAACGCACTAGAGTTCATATAACAGTTCTAGCACTAACAGTTATAATTATTTATTTACAGGATATAGAATTGACCAACAATTCAGCTGTACGTCAAAGTTCGGCGCGACAAATGAATAGTCTGCGTGACATTATACAAAATTTGACCAAGTCGGTAAACCCATTTGGCAAGTTAATGGATTTCATACCTGAAGATATCGATGCCATGCAATTGGAGCTGACCATGTGGCGAGACACGTACACACAAGTGGCCAATGAGCTTAGGCGCGAAAAAAGGTATTAATTTGGGTACTTCAAGTATAAAATCTCTGAAAATACTGATAAGGCGAATTACATGCATAATTTAATGACTGATATGTTCTTTGGTTTATAGCCTCACTGAGTCAGCTACGGAGCCAATGAAAGAACAACTTGTGCAAATTGAAGCGAATATCAAGGAGTTTATGGAAATGATCGATGCGAGTCGTATGAAAATTTTGCAAAATTCTGAAAAAATATTAAAAATGCTTGCAGAACAATAAAAAGACCGAAAAATGTATGTACGTTTAAGCAATAAATAATATACATATTCAATGTTGAAATCTAGTCCGTCGTGAAAATATATTGTAGCATCATTAAAAGTGTCTAATAGGAATCCAAAAATTGAAGAAATCCTAAAACAAGAAAAATACTCTATCGAATAGACGGGGGAGCTAAGTGTTTTATCAACCAGCAGTGGACAAAAACAAAAATAATCAATGTATACTCCTACGTACAATTTATCATTTGATTTTTTATATTATTATATAAAGCACTAATATTTGAACAAACCTTGGCCAGTCGTTCGTTTAAATAAATATATATTTTTTTCACTTTTTTTTATTTATATTTATTATGTATGCATCTTATTTTGTTAGTAAATTGCCATAAGCTGCTTTAGTAACAATAGCGTGTTGTTAAATCTGTTTTCTATCTACATATATGAATTTCAAATCATTTTACACAATCAAGGTACAAGTCAAGGAACCATGCAAGCCGTATCGTGTAGCAATAGAAGGTCCTCAAGCATTATAAACACTTTAACTTAACCTCGAATAGAGATTATACAAACGGACGTTAGTAGAATGATACAAATAAATATAGGACATATGTACACACATATACATACGTAGTCATAGTTTAAGTATTATTTAATAAAACTGATTTTTAATTTTTTCCGTGCTCTAATTCGTCTAAAATATGACAGTTCCCATCCAAACACCATTTTATTTCCATTTAATTACTTTTTATGTTCACAGTTGAACTATAAATTCTGTCTAAAAGTATGCTTCACACTAATCGAAGGATTTAAGGTACATTTGTAGATTTCACATTATTCAAAATTATAATATCAATGTAACGAATCACGACTATAACAAAGTAAAACAAAGTAATTTATAAATTTTCAAAATTAATAGAAATCTTAATCGGTATTAGAGGGCACACCTAGTGAGAGAGCCTAAAAAAAGCGATTTTTAGGAATTAAAAAAAAGCTACTATATCAATAGTGTTAATATATTCAGGGTATATTTGTACATACATATTTTAAGAATAAATGATTGAAACCTAAAAAAATTCACTCTAGAAAATATTGTGCGTCGGAAAGAAATTTAAAATTCGTTTTAAAAATAATTTGAATTTTATTCAAAATTTTGGACGTTTTTGGCCTATCAAAATTAAATTTTTGATCAGATCAAAAAATTATTAGGTTATTGTAAGAGAACTAAATACAAAACAAGTGGATCTGATGATGAGTGGTCTGATAATGTAAGTCCAAAAATATTTTCCAAAGTTTGCCCCTTAACAAGAAGTGTGGCGCATACGACAAATACAGAAACACATGTACAATCTGCATATAAATTTTTAAATACATACATAGTACATAACTTGAATCTGTGGAATAAAAGAAGTCCCGTCGAAGCCACCAAGACACATATCTAGGAAAATCAATTATTTTACAGTGCCTATCATTATTAAATATTCATCGCCCACAGAGATAATTTTTATTCAGCATTCTCATCATATTCCGGTTACTGAAAATTTTGAAGACTTTGCAAATTCGTGATTGTAACATTTTTTTCAGCAAAATAAAAAATAAAAGACCATTAATTAATTGTTTTCAAATTAAATTTCATATTATTATAATACTCATACGCTCAGTATGATAAATGATCGGAAAAAATAATAGAAAAACATTAAAGCTTCAATCGAAATTAAAACCGTATTCTTTAAAAAATAAGGATATGTGTATATGTTAACATAATATAATTATAAATACCAAATACGAAATGAAAATATGTAATTTATAAATATTGTATATACATATATGTCAGTAGATCAGTAGATTGCTTGCACAAATACATATTTACATACATAGTATACGCACTTTAAACAGTTCAACTTATTTAATATATGTATGTAGCGTTAACTATGCAAATCTTTACGCAGTACAAATGTTTACACCTTAATAAAATTAAAATTGTATATTATTTATATAATTACTATTTATCATAATTTCACAGAGTTTCTGTTTAACTGCCCGTGGCTGTGTTGGCATTCAAGTGCATTAAGTAACATCAAAACGTTTGATTTTTCATTCACATTTATATTCCATTAAGAAAGTATTTAATAGTGCATAAATACATAGTTTAAAATCAGCAAACTATTTTAAAATTTCATATTTTGCACATTGGCCTATACTTGAGGTTGTATTATGTCATTTATGTTAAATAATATAATATTTTCAGCATATCTTCAAACTTTCAAACAAATCCATCCTACTATTTGTATGTGTATATAGTATAAAATATTTGCGTTTTACTCTTAGTAATAAGGATACATTTCTATGTTAATTTTTGCTGCTATAATCATTCACGTTAGCATTATAATATATTATATTTTAAATTTTATTAAAACTAACATTAAAATTTCTATAAAGGGCATTCAGAGGATCGCAGAGAAGTTATGTGTTTCTTATGTGTGTGCTACAATTCGAAGAATTCATCTTGCTGTTTTTCTAGTCGCTTCAGTGACTTTTGCACGTGTCGAGTTTGCGTGGTGTTCAACAGCTGCGCAGTGTCCGATGTGCTGCCCGAAGAACTGTTCCGTTGGTGGTTTGATTGATTTTGCCGATTCGTTTTGTAAGAATTATTCAAATGATTATTACGCCTGTGCTGTACAAAATCGGTGGTAACAAACAGATCGTTGTCACTCTGGCTAGTAATCATTCTGTAATTCAAAATTTATACATTCGTTTAGAAATTTTGGTATTAAAAAATTATATATAACAAAGTAAAAATAAATATTATAATTAATTGGCACAAAGTGATGAGAACAAACTTTAAATGGCAACTTTAAGAAACTTTAGGCAATTGCATCATTTACAATTTACGATAGCATACTTTTAGGAATACATCATACATCTACCATAGATAGTTTGTGTGTGCTGACAGACACAGTTTTTTCTAATTCATGCTTTAAACTAATTAAATATGGTTGTAACTTCGCATACTAGTTTTAATACTAAAGTACGAATACGAAACTTACTCTTTGGATTTCTCAACATATTTTCTCGACTCAGAGATAGTTGAATCGATTTTACTTAAGAACTCGTTTATGCATTTACGATTTTCCTCCTCCGGCGTCATAGTCACCACAGAGTCAAGCGATTTGCTCTGTTTATTACTGCTGCTGCTGTGATTGTTTAGCGTGACATCATCGTTGCTGTTTTGCACTAATAATTCACCGGCAATTGAGTATGGACGAGTTGGCAGCGTGGATGGACGCGGATTATTTGCTGAGTCAAGACAACTGGTTGGTGCTGCAAATACGCCAAGTGGATCAGCGGTTGTATTGCTCGTATTTGTAGCATTTATAGAATTCACGATATTTTGCGAATTTATATTATTTTGCAGCACAGTATTGTTGGAACTAATTTGTAATGGATTATTTTCATCCGCTTTGGGATAATACGGCGACGATTTATCCACTGGGATTAACAAAAACTGGCGCAAGAAGAGACTGTCTGAGGCGAAGAGCCGATTGGCGCGTCGTATCTGTTCCGTCTGTCAATATAAAAATTAAAGACGATTGGTTATTTAGCATGTTAAAAATTCATATCAATTATAAAGAAGATCTCAAATATTTAATAGTCTTTAATAACTTAATTATAATAACCAAAAAGTACAATGACTGATTGAAAATGATTTGATGAGATTGGAGGAATTAAGTTATCACAAAACACGATATATGGTACGTAGGTATACGAAAGTGAAGACGATGATTGATGACTTGATAGCATTTGTTATATTTGACCACATTATCACTTTTGAAGACACATTTATTGCTTTTTCTTTATTAAAAAAAAAACGAATAGTAATGTTAAAAGTTAGAAAAAGCAAATATTGGTTATTAAAATAATTGCAGTAATTTGATTTAAAAAAAACAAATATGCGATTAAAATAATATTATAACTGAAACCATCAGACATTTGAATGCAAGTTAGAACAAAAAAAAAACAGTTGCATTAATCTTAATACATTTACTGATTACAGTTACAAATATGAAAACCATCATTTACAAGTATAAGTTTGTCTTATATGTGTTAAAATATGATAAGAAACCACTTTATCTACATAGTCTTAAAAACAAATATGTTACATTGCTTGTGAAAGCACCTGAAAACATTTACGTAATATTTAATTAAAAGAGAAATTACTGCAGATCTAATATGATATGAAAGCAAATAAGTACCTAATTTTGTTAAATCTTATCTTATCTAACTATGTTATCTGGCCGTTTAAGCGAAGATTTATTCTATACATAAACTATTTGCTCACATATACTTTTTATAATTTACATAAATTTAGAATTCCACAAAACCATTAATTCACAGAATGAAAAAAATCTGTTCCAAATTTGATATGTGCATCAATATTCATAATAAATTTCTTTGATAATATAAAATATTTTTCACTGTTCTGCTCGTTTGCTGTACTGGTTCTTAAAATAAACAGTTCTCGAGAATAACCCAATGACCAAATAAAAGGTTGGTCACAACTGGATTTCCAACTTATTTAAAAATAAATTCTATTCAAGAGAAAACATACTGATATGCTTTTTTTATTTTTTCGTATTCTTTCATACAATGTAAAAAAGTATGTGGAAATATACATACATATGTATGTGCTTACTGGTTTGCCAGTTGGTTTTAAAAGTCGAATTCAACTTTTGATTTTTTTTGAAGCACTAATGTACATACATTTGCGTATAATATAACTCACTTAAAGGCCAAATAATGTTTAATCGATAACCAATGTATATAGGTATATATGATTTATACAATAAAACAAACTGTAGGTCTCAAAAAAAAAATACTATAAATACGACTAATTTTTTAAATAGTAGTTACAAAACATACCGAACATCCATATTTGAGCGCTATACCCTGCAGTGTATCTGTCTTCTCCACGTCATGTCGTATCAGCGTCTCATTGTTCCTTAAGTTATGATTACAGCAAGTGCTACCATATTTTTTGAGTGAACGCGCCGATTCGCGAATTGATTGCTTCTCGTTAAACATCATGTAATCGGCATCATCCATATCGGGTACGATCTCATGGAACTGAAAGGTCAAAGGAGAAGTTAATACAATCTACAATATATACATATATAAAATATAAAATTTTCTAAAATATTTTATTGATAAATAAGATTAAGAGTGACTAACTACAATTTGTAAGCAGTTTTCATTTCCAAAAACGGTTTTTAAATGAGCTTTTACTTTCCTATACCTTAACCTTAATTAAATGCATATATAACTTCAATTTCATGAAATATGCTCAAACATTCATCCTTTCGTACGTAAATATTATCATACTACTGGATGCAATGTTTACTATCCTTACAGTGCCAAATAGTGTATTTGACGTCATTTGCAGTGCAACTAAGCCCAACATCTGGTCTATAACTCCGTCAGACATATCATGGCCAAAAACAAACTTTCGATATGCACTAAAACTACATGTAGCATTCAAATGAAAACATTGCAGGTACAAGCAATTCACAAAATTTCACAATTAGAGCATTCAATATGTTTATCAGTGCAAAAACTCTTGGAAATGTATTCAAATGAAATGGATGTATTTTAAAATTAGCTGCATAATTTTGTGAGGCATTCTACTCAAACTAAAAGTAAAATACACAAATCAATACACTCACTTAATAATGGTCGATTTTCTATTTTTTAAAACGTTCCTTTGCATATTAGCAGAAGTAAGCAAGGTTTTCCACGAATTAATCACCCCACCTCATACCTTTTATTTGAAAGTTCCAAACTTGTTCGAGGTTCAGCGCTGAAGTTGTTTCACTTTACTATGCACCGATCACTGCTACATTAGCAATCATAAAATCAGCCAAGCGTTTGAATCAATTTTCCATTTTTTGTTTAATAATATCTTGTGTGTAGCAATCACAAAAAACACATTTTGATGCAAACGTGTAAGCTTATTTTTTGTTGCGCAAATTTTTAACCAGGGACAAACTTGTGAAGTGGCGAAGTAGCTAAGTAGCTAAGTAATAAATTTAAAGCTAATAAATGAGATAAAGTTATACTGAGTTATACGGCCAAATTTTTGTTGGGCACTCCGAAGTACGCACAAATAAAGCACACACAGCTGATTTTCCTTTTACCTGAGAAAGTCAAATCAATGAATACTCACCCAAATAACGGAAGCTTTGATCACAAAGTCGGTAATGCATTTGTAATAAATTAGTTTAAAAAAATTATTTAATTAAAAATTAATCCAAATTAAATACAAATTTTATTGTTAGAATAACTATAATATGGAAATATAAAAATTTTAATTCCATCTCTAAACATAAAAATTTAACATCCTCTACTGCATCTCTGTGTGTTGACTTGCCAACAGCAATTTTTATTCTCATACAGTTGTAGCACAACAGATGTTGAAGAAAAATAGTCGTTAAAGTCGAATTGTAACGCTTCCACTTGCTTATAATGCAAATATATGTGTAATGATTATTCAAATTAAAGTTTTGTACTTCTAAATATATTATAATTATTATAATTTACTAATAAAATCCGTGAGCTTCGTTAGTACATATCGCGTTGCCAACTGCTAGTTAACTCAAGTAATTAATTTCTAATAAGATGGTTAGGGTTGCCGTACATACGTTAGGGAAAATAGCAGTACATAAGTACTTAATACGAAAAAAGTCTAAGTATAGCCTATTGAATTTGAAAACTATTTGTCAATAAAAAAATACATTAATTTAACAAAGAACTATTTCGGCTGTCTTATGGGTTATTGTAAGATAATCTCAGAGCCACAAATCCATGTGACGTTGGGTCTCCTAGCCTATACATAATGAATGAGAAACAATGAAATTATGTATATAGTTTAAGACTTAAAAACATATCTTTTATGCTATGCTATTAGCATACTAGTTAAAAGTTAAATAATGGAGAAGAAGAAAATATACACCTATTTCACACAAATACATAATGTATGGAATCTTGTCGCAAACTGAGCTATCTAATATCACAATTTGTTAACTTCTCTGCCACACCAATTTCCTAAACTTTAAAGGCAATAGATAAATAGGTGATATATTATATTTCATACTACATACGTACATATATGGGCCTGTAGATGTTTATATTCATCTTATCGGTGTTTACATTAAAATTAATATTTACCGAGCGTTTTTCTAAGATCATTTGTTTTAGCTGCACAACAAAATGAATAAGAAATAAGCTACAAAACAGAACATAAAATATACTGTATAGCAAAGGGGTCGAAAGGCGTATTCATTAAAAGAAGCCCACGTGATGGCGATGATGAGGGAAGATCACTAAGAAATAAATTTTAATTCAAATTAATAACCAAAAAAGACACCAAATTTGCTTAGCTCACTACACACATGCGTACATACATATGCGAAAGTGCGCCGTAAATATGTACGAGTGTGTACACACGTGTGCAATTATGAAGATTTTTGCCAGTTGTTTTGTTGTTGGAATTGCTGGAGGCGAAATTCTCGATAATTAGTTATTAAACAATTTTGTGTTGTTTAAAAGCATTTCATTGTTGTAAATTACTTTTCCAATCGAAATAATTGTCATCATGCGATTCACGACGTCTCGACGTTTTCGAATTGCACACGTCTGCGATAAATAATATATTTAAGTTAATGCAGATGGTTACATACTAATACTTGTACGATTCCTATTTTTTATTTATTTCTGCTTTTAATTTGTATTACATAATTTAACACTGGCTCATATAAACTTATGTTTGCATAAAATTTTATTGTATTTGCAATCATTCATCGTGGCATATTACAGTAATTATTTATAATCAGGTTCGTCGCATTGTTTTGTTACTAATCTTAAATGTCACGTTGCTTTGTGCGAGCATATGCTTTTTGACACCTTTATGCACGTAAAGCAAAAAAGAATCCATCAAAATATATTGAAATGTTTACATTCAGAAAGATATATCAGTTCATCAATTACTTAAATTACTAAACCAAAGTGTTAAGGGAACTATATATAAAGATAGAAATATAATATTTGTAATTGACAATGTGCACAGCAGAATGACAAAACGGTGAAATATGTATGTCTCAAATGTAACTGAAAATGTGTCGCCGCCAACGCTTGAATGGTATGCAGTGCATAAGTGTTGGTGCTTGGGGCTAAAAAAGACTTTATGGCTAAGATTAACCACTTGAAATTTGGCACTTAAATGCAAACATATTTACGATATACATACATATGTATGTGTGTATGTAAGCTAAACTATTCGACACTTCCTTTTTCCAAAGTTTATCATTGATAAGAATCGCTATAACAATTCGAAACAAACCGACGCAAGCGCATAGATCTCATTTAAGGGGTAGCATGTGTTATTAAAAATTAAGTATTTTATTCAAACGAAGATACATAATTGGCAAAGATTTTTTCAAAGGAAAATATTCAAAACTCGGTCATTACAACGTCATTTCCGGCATTGGAGGTCATTTTGGAATTGGAGGTTTGGGCGACAGGTTGTCAATGCAACTTTGTTATATTTTGATTTTCGTAAGAATTGTATAATTTATAATACTAAAGTATTTCGTAAAAAAATGTTTTTTCTATTTCCAATTAGATATTAAATCCAAATATTCTTATATACTAGTCGGTTAGCTTTTAATTAACATACATACATATAGTAGCTTTCCTTATATCCCCTGAATGGGATATATTACATTTGCCACGAGTTTGTACACCCAGAAATAAACGTCGGAGACTCTATAAATAATCGGCATCACGAGCTGAGTCGGTATAGACATGTCTGTCTGTCTGTCTGTCTGTATATAAGCGAGCTTGTCCCTCAGTTTTTGAGACATCAATCTGAAATTTTACACACGTCCATTTCTCCCCAAGAAGCTTGTCATTTGTACGAACCAACGATAGCATATATGGTATATAGCTGCCATACAAACTTAACGATCAAAATCATGTCCTTATATGGAAAACGAGATATCGTCACGGAATTCGGGATGTATTAATGTTCAGCGCAACGCTACAATTTCCGAACAAATTGTTCAGACCTCTACAGCATATACACAACTGCCATATAAACTAACCAAAGTCAAGTTCTTATACAGCAATTTTTTTTATTTGTGAAGGGTATTATAGCTTTGGTGCGGCCGAAGTTAAGGTTTTATCTTGTTCTCAATTTTATTGGGAAAAGTTTAAAGAATCTTCAATTATCATACCATATTACATTATAAACGTTTCTACCTAATTTATGAAACACACGAATTTACACATTTGGTAGCTTTGCTCAGCTCTTTATAAGACAGTTAGTGGTGAAATTTAAAGAGGATAAGTATGTTTTAGTTAGGATATCTTCGGTTTTTTGCTTGCATTTGTAAATTAAAAATATATTACTACAACATAAAGAACTGACACTGCGTCTTTTGTTGTTATAGAAGAGCGTATTATAAATCGAATAACAGAAATACAAAACAAATAAGGTAATTCGTAGGCGCAAGTCATTGTGTTAACCATATTATGATGTCTGAATCATTAAAGTTATCAATAGCAACACAAACAATAACTTCCGCTGCCATTGCGGTACAATTATAGAAACTTTTGATAACAGTATGTGTGTAGGTGTATAGGTAGCCCAATACGTTGTTTAATTGTATTTTAGGCACGCTGATTCGTGTAGTTGTAGGATATTTCGGAACCATCAAAACATCATGATCTAGAATTGTGGCGTGCACGCGCCATACCGTTATCTATACAGAGTGTTATACGGCTTTTTATGTACATACATATATGTACATATGTATACTTATATGTATACCATAGATGATCTAAACAGTCAAACATTTTCATACGCGACTTTCCAAAGAGTTAATAAAGCTAATATTTGTTTATATGCACAACAATAAAATTCACTTGTATATATGTGAATTTCATTTCAGCTACTGCTGCGAAATGATGGCAGTAAAAAACGGGAAAATTCCAAAAACTTATTTAATAAATAAGAGGGATAAGTGCTGCGATGTGAGTATCCTTTAACTCATTGCGGCACTTTATTTGAGTATATGCATAATTGAGTGAAATTGTAACTGAATGAAATGTGAATCCGTATCATTATAGCATTTATGTGCTACAATGTATATCTAAATTACACTAGTAAACAAAATTAAACTTTTTTGTTTTATGAAGCTTCTAAACTGTTTCTTACTAATTTGGCTTACTAATTCGTTGATTCCAAATCTACCCTCAGTTTCTTTCTAGCAGCAGCAGTTTTAGTGATACAGGTACTTCTTGAAATATTGTTAGTCGGATTCCTTTAATTAATTTATAGGGGAACAAATTATTTAATTTTAAAAATAAATAGCTATGTCTACATTAAGGAGAATTTGTTTAAATGAACCGAATAGTTTTTGTGCTTGTGTGTTAGTGGTGACTATGGCATATGTTTAAAGAATGCCGTTTAAATGCGTCTGATCCTACAATAAAGGACTATTTGGACTACTTTTGGAAAGCCATTACAAGTATAAACTGATATGTGTGTCAAGCTTCCAGAGACTATAATGTAACATGAGCATTAAGATGCACTTACTCTTCAGTCAGAAAATTTAGGCGACTCAAGCGAATAACAAGGATAACGCTTTCATCAGGATATTCACACTATGGAAGAGCGACACCAGAGTTGTTGGAATGCAAATACGATGGCTGATTACTGCTGAAGCATTCAAAACAAAACTGATGTTTTCACTCATGCAAGAAAAGCACATCAAAAAGGTTTTTTCATCTTAAGTAAGAGCCATATATTTTTATACTCTTCCAACATGTTGCTACAGAGTAAAATAGTTTTGTTCACCTAACGGTTGTTTGTATCGCCTAAAACTAATCGAGTTAGATATATAGGGTTATGTATATATTAAAGATTAGGATGAAGAGACGAGTTCAAATCCGGGTGACTGTCTGTCTGTCCGTCCGTCTGTGCAAGCTGTAACTTGAGTAAAAATTGAGATATCTTTATGAAACTTGGTACCTAAAGACGGTTTGTATTGCGGATGGGCATAATCGGATTACTGACACGCCCACAAAACGCCATTAATCAAAAACAAATTGCCATAACTAAGCTACACAATAAGATACAAGACTCTTATTTGGTATACAGGATCACTTTAATGAGGGGCATCTGCAGTTAAATTTTTTTTTTTAAAGTGGGTGTGGTTCCGCCCCTAATAGGTTTAATATGCATATCTCCTAAACCGCTAATGCTATAATAACAAAATTCACTGGAAGCAAATGTTTTTAGAAACTCTACCTACAGTGTAAAAATGGCGCGATAAATCAAGCACCAAACACGCCAGAGACATTAAATTTTATCTCTGGGATGGTATGAGATGACTTTATAGGAACCGCGTTCAAAATTAGACAGTGGGCGTGGCACCTCCCACTTTTAGGTGAAAACCCATATCTTGAGATCTGCTTAACCAATTTCAACAAAATTCGGTACATAACGTTCTTTTCTATGTTATAGTGCGAAAATAGGCGAAGTCGGATTACAACCACGCCTATTTTCCATATAACACCATTTTAAATTCCATCTGATTCTTTCACTTGCCAGTATGCAAATCAAGCAATAATGAATGTATGGGGGCAAAAGTTTGCGTGAAAAATGAAAATTGTCTAAATCGAACCAA